TTTTTTTTTTTTTTTTTTTTTTTTGTGTCTGTTACCACTTTTTCTCAGCTCTCACCGAAATCGTACGTTTTTCTTTAACTTTGATGTCCGTTTGCACCACGAAGACAAGTCCAGAGGTCAAATTTTTTTTTTTAAATTAAAGTATATTACATAACCTTTAATTTAAGATATATATATAAAAGTGTCAGTCTTTCCGGAACAATTTCAAAAGTCAAGTTGAAAAAGTTAATTTTTTGTAAAAAAGCTACCATTTTGAAACCCTTCCTGTGGGCTGTTAAAGGGTCAAATGTTCACAAAAATATATAAAATGATAGGAAATGTTTAAGGTATCTATAAAAAAAAATTATATAGATTCGATCATTTTTAAAAAAGTTATGGCAATTTTAAGTAAAAAAAATTGAAAAAATATCGAAAATTAGCGATTTTTATATTTGTAATTTTTTGGGGGATTTCCCCCGTTTACGGGGAACGAGGGAATTTTTTTCAATTTTGGAGAGTAATGTCTTCGACTAGGTACGATTTGTGATCTTTTGACATATTGTTCATCAAAATCGGTCCAGCGAGAGCTGAGATTGAGCGTTCACAGACACAAAAAAAAAAATTAAAAAAAAAAAAAAACACATCATAGTAAAATTAATACCTTCTCAGCTTCGCATCGAAGCTAATACTATAACTTTTCGAAAAATGTAATTATCAGCACAAATTTTTTTTTCTAAATACATTATAAGTACATCTTTCATTTGACATACTTTTTATTAAAATTGGACAATTTCCGCATATATAGGGGGCGTTCAAAACTTGAAACATTGTATAAAAAATAGAACTTTTTCAACTTAACTTTTGAAAGTGTTCCGGAAATACTACGTCCTTAAAACATACATCAAATTAAATCAAATTTTATGTACTATAAAATGAAAAAAAAAATTGTCCCGACGACCTATTTTCTATGCGCAAATGGTTACCGTATTCAAAAATATGCTATTTTCTATTAAAATTCTAGGTTTTGTATTTTATTTTATTTTAAAATATCTTATTAGGAGAATATATTGAATTTCATGAATATTATATAACTTAATTGACATAGAATAAAGTTCATAAGACATAAGAAATTAAACTTATTACATTTTTTTTACTTTTTTAAAGTTTTTTTCTTTAAATTGGAATAACTTATTGAAAAGTGTATGGATTAACACAATTTTTTTATGAGAAATAATATTTTTTATAATCCCTTTTTCATTCAACATACTTTATCTTAATCAGGATATTAATAAGGAAACAGCAGTTCGTGTAACTTTTGGAATAATCCAACAATTTTTTAAAAATTATCTATCTATAGATTATTTAGATATATCACTATCTAAAGATTTGCATCGAAGCGTTTTTATTGATAGTGATTGAAATTACTGTCAGATATCATTATACTTGATCCAACTATGCCATGTCACTACTATGCCGCGACCACCCTGTGCTGGGTGAAAATACATTTTTTTCGTTTGGAAAGGAAAATAAAAAATTTTCTTATGTATATTCCCCCCAGACGAAACCCTAAATACGCCACTGAAATATAAAGTTTAAATTATACCTACGTTACAGGAACTACATTTAATTTTGAAAACTGCCTCTGTCAATATTTTAATCAGAGTTTGATTATATTATAAAATATTTTTATGTACCTTATATCACTGATTGAAACACGTGAACAATATATTTTGAAGAAACTGGTTGGGGATAAGTTCTCACAAAATCAGCAATAACATTCTAGTGTAACGTATGATTTTAGCTCATTGTAACTAGTAATAATATTGATTCATAATATGAAAATTATAAAAATTATTGTTATTGTAATAAGAAATATGAGTATAGAAGTATCAAATAAATTTACTCAATTTTTAATTGATTTATCCATAGCCATGATACATGTCTAAGGATGCGATTTTACACATGCCGCATTTGTAAAATTTCACATGAGTTATGCTAAAATAAACTACCTTTATTTTATGTAGTATATAAGGAAACTGTGTATTTGATAATAATAATAACTATTACTATTATTTCTAAAAACCTAGTGTTTAACCTCTTGTAATCTTAGGCATCTTAGGTGCAACTAGAATAACATTTTTGAGGTACTAATTATATTTTCCCCTATTTTAGAAAGTACTTGAATGTATCAATATTTTTATAAATTTAAAAAAAAATTCTAGGTGCTATTTCGTCAACAGGGATGAGGAGTTAATCCTTCTCAAACCGACTAGTATTGCCTATGATAATTATATAATTATAAAAATCTGGTTAGTTCTTTAGATTTATGGGGACCAGTGCAATAATATTTGTGATATAATCTATGACATTTTTATTACAAGTGCGATACACTAATTAATTAATTAAACAGAGCATTTCGCATTTTTTTTTTAATTAAAAAAATACTAAGCCCAGGAATTGATTTTAATGTTCACTTTAAATGTGGCCCTTATGTAAATATAATTGAATTTATAGCTATGTATTAATCTAAATTTAATACTGATATATTATATATAATATTAGATATTTGAATTTCTTACGCAATCTAGAGACACATTGATTCCTTGATAAAAATTCATAATAACTACACAACTATAGCGAAAAAAAGTATTTCTACATAACTTCCCTAAAAAATAATTATCTGTATCTTGAGCAAAAATAATATATTTGTACCTCTTTAGACAATGCTATAACAAACATTAAACGTAATTATACAAAAAATGTTAATAATATACTTTTTAGCTTCGATGCGAAGCGGAGAAGGTATTAATTTTACTATGATGTGTGTTTTTTTTTTTTTTGTCTGTTACCATTTTTTCTCAGCTCTCACTGGACCGATTTCTTTCAAAAATACGTCAAAAGATCACAAATCGTATCTAGTTGAAGACATTACCCTTAAAAATTAAAAAATTTTCCCTCGTTCCCCGCAAATGAGGGAAATCTCCAAAATAATTACAAATTTAAAAATCGCTAATTTTCGAAATTTTTTCACTTTTTGTTCTTAAAACTTCCATAACTTTTAGAAAAATCAATAAATCTACATAATTTTTTTTTTATACTAAAACCTTAGACATTTACCTGTCATTTGATATCATTTTATTGAAAATCTATCACTTAACCTGCTCAATGGGGGGGATTTAAAATAGCAACTTTTTTACAAAAACTAACTTTTTCAACTTAATTTTTGAAAATGTTCCAGAAATACTGCGTCCTTTAAACATATATCAAATTAAAGCTTATTTTATGTAGTATAGAATTTAAAAAAAAAATTTGTCCCGACGACCTATCTTCTATGCGCAAATGGCTACTGTTTATCAAAAATATGCTATTTTTTTATTAAAATTCTGGGTTTTGTATTTTATTTTATTTTAAAATATCTTATTAGGAGAATATATTGACTTTCATGAATATTATATAATTTAATTGACATAGAATAAAGTCCATAAGACATATGATATTATACTTATTAACATTTTTTACTTTTTTAAAGTCGANCTTTCTTATCAACCGCCCAACACTATTAACCATACATCATAGCTGGCCTCACAATTTCATACTAAATTTAAAAACTATAATTAGTATTTATTCATATATTATATTTTAAAATCAAAGAACTACTAATTTGGATATAATCAAAGAAATAAGAGTTGATGTTGCTTTTGGAATAATCCACCAATTTCATAAATGAAACACTATCTACAGATTTGCTTCGAAGCGTTTCTTATGATAGTGATTTTAATCACTGTCAAATATCATCTATACTTGTCCCATCTATGCCTTGTCTACACTGTGCCTCGACTCCACTATGCTACCGTTTTTTTTTTTAATTAAAAATTTCTATTTAGTATTATAATAATATTTTCACTGTAATTATAATTTTGCATAAGTTCAATATTATTAACATATTTAAAATTTTTAAATCGTAATAAAATGTAGTTAAAAAAATTAAAAATCTATTCATCTGTTTTTGGTATAAATATTTCAAATAAAACTAGACGCATAAACAGTTTATGGTTTTATGCTTTTAACAAAAATACATAATAAAAATAAGTCAATAAAGTGGACTAGAGTCATAATGAGGAACCGGCATAGATAGAACAAGTATAGAATATATCTGACAGTGATTAACATGACAATCATAATAAAACGGTTCAATGTGAATCTCTTAAATTTTATATTGAATGTAGTCCATTATTTATTTATTTATATAACATGAACGGAAAAATTGTTCTTTTTATAAACATTATTCACGATAACAATTAACATTACAAAAAAAAAAAACGGTAGCACAGTGGGGTCGAGGCACAGTGTGGACGAGGCATAGATGGGACAAGTATAAATGATA